ATTGGCCTGGCGGAGGAGATCCGCCACATGTTTCAGGTGACTTGGATCGACCCAGATGACCCTTATAAGGTGACTGAATGCTCCTAAAGGGTTAATGCGCAGTCAAATTGAGTTTTTCCAGTAGGAATATGCAAGATGGGCAGTTTTGTGTAAATTTTCCTGTAATATCACTAATGTTGTTGCACCTTTGCAGTGCAAAATCAAACCACTTCTGAATGACTCTTGGGTTTTCATTTTACAAATCATGTTTGATGCATTTCTGCTTTGATTTTCCAACTTTTGTTCAAGTCCATTATTCTGCTTTGCCCCTGCAGGGTTTTAAGTACCTATATCTGACGCCTCAGGACTACACTCTCATCAGTTCCTCTAATTCTGTCCACTGTCACCATGTAGAGGAGGGAGGCGAGTCCAGGTAAGCCTACTGGTTTTAGCATGCACAGAAAGACCTATACCCAAACACCTCTCTCTTCAGCTCTTATGTGTTCAAATAATGTGTCAGGTATATCATCACAGACATCATCGGGAAGGAAGACGGTCTTGGAGTGGAGAATCTGAGGGGTTCTGGCACCATAGCTGGAGAAACTTCACAGGCTTATAAGGAAATCATCACCATAAGCATGGTGAGACCTAACATCTACCTGATCCTGGAAGAGTAGACAACATTGCTGGCAGTTCTGACTCACAGTCTGTAAGTACGTTTTCATTTAAAGGATTTGCCATTGATGATTCAAACGTGAGTTTTGAGCAGTGTAGAGTAGCGTTTGTAGTTTTGACACAAATTTTAAATGATTTTCAACGGTCGCTTTGTCGGGTCCAGTGTACTAGACAGACTTTAGCTGTTGCGGCGCAGACACAGTGTTACTCACCTATCGAGAAGAAACAAAGCAACCTCGGCGTCCGATCGCAGGCCTTCCGCTCCTTGAGTTCTCTCTAGTGCTGGAAAGCTGATCCGATATTTACACAGGTCCTACTTCTTGCCTTAAGCCTTCTTTTGTTCCGCAGACGTTTTCCTCTTTTGTTTTTTATCCGCCATCTCTATCTTTCTGTTGCTCGGCTCGGCTAATGTCCGTCATGTGCACTGAACGCTCTCTCCTCCACATCATGAGTAGACACGCCCCTTACTGCTGATTGGCTACAAGTTTGTTTTGCTAGTCGGCCCGAATCAGTTTTCTAAAGCGTTTTTGAACAATCGCTTACCCCACCTTTAATCTCACTTGAACACAATTTCCTCACTGGCCCAGGGAATCTTTACCTGTGACACATGGTTTACTGTTGTACTCCACGTAGGCAACCCAGAGTTACCAAGCCAGGAGTGTAAAGACTTGGAGGCCAAACTGAAGTCTAGAGAGGAGTTCCTTCTTCCCATCTACCACCAGGTGGCGGTGCAGTTTGTGGACCTTCATGACACTCCAGGAAGGATGCAGGAAAAGGGTGTCATCACGGTATAAGAAAAACTCATTTTTAGGCACATAAGGCTCCATATGTCACCTTTTATGAAGAGATTTTTTTTCCATAGCTGTGGATCATATCAAAGACACATGCGAGAAATCTTCTGGTTTTAAATCTGAGTGGCCATTATGCTTTTTCACTTAATAAAATTTTCCCAGGACATCCTGGACTGGAAGAACGCTAGGTCATTCTTTTACTGGCGTCTGCGGCGACTGCTGTTGGAGGAGGTGATGAAGGGGGAGATGCAGGCCAACCAAGATCTGAGCAACGGACATATACAGTCCATGTTATGCCGCTGGTTTGTGGAGACAGAAGGGACTGTAAAAGTAAGGAAACTTGATTCATGTATAATGGGAAACAAAAATGTGAAGATTTCCGTTCAGACAGTCGTCAAGCTTAGGGTCTGAAACGATTCGCCAAGAAGAAAACAACAGTTATTGTAAGAAAAGAAAACTATGAAAAGTAGTTTCTAGTGAAGCTGAAATAAAATATAAATATGTTGCCTTGGATACCAACAGAAATAAATCAGTTTAAGTATTACAATTTCTAAAATTGTTACATTTTAAAATCAAACTTTAATTTTTATTTATATGAAAACGGAAAATATACAAATAAAAGTTAATGCAAAATATTAATAAATACTGTAATAAATAGTACTAAAATAACACTGGTGGACAGTCTAGTCAAGCTTTCCTAACTCTTAACCAAATTAAGCTAACTCTAACTTAAACTGTATCTTCATCACCTGAACTACTAGTATCTGCAAACTTGATAATGAAAAAGTTGGTATTTATTCCATGTAAGGTAATTGTTTGTTCACAGCAGGATGGAACACATTCTGTCATCAGAGAGAACATTAAATGCTTAAAGAGGGACTATGCTCTCAAACACATTCGCAGGTAATTCACAGTAATACTGGAAAATATTACTACAATTTAAAAGAGCTTTTTAACATTTTAAAATGTATTTTGTTCCTGTGATGAAATAAATCAAAGCTGAATTTCAGCAGCTTCTGTATTACTCCAGTGTCACATTATCAATGTTTCAAACAGTTGTGGTGCATATTATTTGTGATAAATTGTGAAACATTTTTAGGATTCTTTGATGAACAGGAAGTTTAACCGCATTTATTTCAAATGTAATAGTTTTTATAACAATGTCACTTTTGATCAATTTAATGTGTCACTGCAGAATAAAAGAATAAAAAATGTTTTTTAAATCCCGAAATTACCCCAAACGTCTGAGCAGTAGTGCACTTCATTTTTTTTAATTTGGTGAACAAAAAACAAAAAAACAAAAAAAAAAGCCAAAGCTTTGCATCCAACACCATTCCCAGTTTTCCATTTCTCAAATCTGTTTTGAGATTGATTCTAATATGATTCTCAGTTGAACTTGGTCAAATTTACCACAAGCAAAATGACCAACAAACAGCAAACAGTCATTAGTTGTATAAGCAAAACCTTTTTTAAAACAGGAGACTTATGTATCCATAAAGTCATTTTCTCATGGACTTGTCCTGCATTATATGTTTAGCTTGGTCCAAGCCAACCCAGAAGTGACCATAGAGGCATAGACTGCATCATCCACATGGCACAGAACATCACTCTCTCACAGAGAGCCAAAGTCTGCCACCTGCTGGCCACCTGGACAACTCTACCACCAGCTGATCACATCCGTGCCATTTAAATAAACGTACACAGAGAGATGATATTCGGTGGTATTATTTAATAATAGTGCTTTAAAACTTTAAAACAATATAAAAAAAAACGAAAAGAAAAAAATGACCGCTTTGGTCGGTTCTTTGGATCAACACATTGGTCAGTAGCCTTAAACGCACAATTTTAAATCTCAGCAATCCTATAGTCCACCTGTTCATCTTAGTGCAGTTACTGTTGGTTTGAATCACAGTGACCGTGTTCACATGAGCACCAGAGCATTTCCTTAAACTCACTCTCAAGAGAGGGAAACCAGTATATAGTGTTTATCTGTTCACATTTGTGCCTTTGTGTCCTTTTTATGGAGATAACCGACTGATGAATGTACAATAAGAGGACAAGACTGAATATTAGATGATTTTAGGGAATCACCGATGTTTGGAGAGCACATTCATGCTGTGTAGCACTTCCTCAAGAATATATGCAACATTAATTAAGCAGAACGAACTATTAAATCTCTATTATTAGAGTGAAGTAACAGTATTCCACCTAAATAATCACTATGTAGATATCAGGGTAATTCTTGATAATAACGTTCATTTCTGATAACATACAGTAGTTATGAACAAACATTGCATTGCAATATATAGGCTACTGTAATGCTTAGAGAATTGTTAATGTACAATCAATTTGTCATGAAACTTTGATTCGTTTATCTGTTCATATTGAATGTACATTAACTAATCTGCTTAGTGTTAACTATATTACATAATAATGAAAGTTGTTATAAAAGTGTTATCAATATCAGGGCAACTGTATATTTTAATGGCTTGAATTTCGGTTGTTTGTATAGTTTATTTCACATGACTGCAGGTAATTCTTCTGTTCATATGAATACAGCCATACAGTATGTGCTGGTTCTATGAATGGATAAATGTGTGTACCTACTGGTGCTGTACTGTACTCAACAGTTAATTCTGACTAAAGAAGACTTCTTGATCAGATGTAATGCCTTTAATCGATTTTGTGTTTTTAGAACTTGTACTGTAATCAGATTAATACTAGAGCCGAAGCGCTAGTCTAAGTGCCTGACTTTATTGACTGTTTATCAGGATGTTTTAAAATGAAATTCATAATTATGCATTAAATAATGTAAATTTTCATCTTGGTGGAGTTGTGGTCATTTTACCAATTCATAATTATCTTAATCTTAGAAATACAGATGGGTCAACATTTTGTTCAGTTGTGTATATACAGTATTTGCTTTGTTTTTAACATATTATTCTAGCCACACTATTTGTAAGGTGGCGTTTAATATATGTAATATCACTAATATTACATCAATTAAATGCCACCCTGCAATGCGTACTGTATGTTTGTCATGTATATGCAGCTGAAAATTAAGTCATTAAGAATTAAAAACAAATTAAATGAATACATATTTCAATCTGAATGCGAAATTTTATTGCTTGCATTTGAAATATTTCGATATGTACAATAAAAAATGATTAATGTCACCATTTCAGCTCTATTCATAAATATAAATAATAAACAAACATTAAAGAGCAGATGGAGTGTCTATCACAGTACAACAAAAGACACACAACTACAGTTACAAGGCTTAACAGTTACATGGACAAAATGAAAAGAAAAGTTCATTTTATGGTACAGAAAAAAGCTTGGCAACACCCAAAATCATAATTCCCATAATTTGATCTTTGTTCCTTAAGTTTTGTTTTAACTCGCAATTTGCATTGGGTGTAAAATGATAACAGCACTAGTTCATTTGATTATGTTAGGCCACAATGCCAGTATTACGATCTGCACTGGACTGTGCTGTTTTAGGAAACTGACACACCATGAAAGCTTGGATTGAAAGCTTTATAGATGGTCCTGGGAAGTAAAGCTCAGCTTGCTTCATTTCTTGTGGGTGCAATTAAAGCAAAACGATAGGCTTTGTTCCTCCTTGTGTGTTCATGTACTGGTTAGAAAGGACATCCACAGCCGAGTATGAAGAGTAGAGGCCTGTCACCTGCAGGTCTGGGTAAGGCAGTCCTCCTGCATTGGACACAGGCGTGACATTGCCAGTGTCCAGGTCACAGTCAGACAGCCGAAGTGGGGAGTTACTGAGTGTACCTAATGCCTCCAGGTTAAAGCTGTCATCCTTCATCTCCTCCCACAGGTTTCCTGTAATCAGAAGAGAAGAACTGCGTTAAATATCAGCCCACAAACAAACATTCTGTGGCTTTCAAAATTTTTATGTTAGTTGATTATTGACGTAGTTAATGCTGACCTTGCCAGGCGAAGTCCATAATACTTGGGTCCAGTGCGTCCACCTCTGAATTCACGTCAGTGTGAACTGTGTAGAAGTCGCTGTGCTGCTTGGCAGGATGCTGAGGGAGGGAGCTGTTTGTCAGGTCAGGGATGGTGTGGAGAGGGGGTGTCTGAGCGGGAGAAGGGGAGGCCGGAGCCAAGCGAGACTGATTCTGGAGCTGCAGTTGAAAGTGTTGATGCATAGGGAGGCACTGTAGAGAAAGAGTGACCACTGGTTGGGGCTGCATCTGAGCTGTTATTGGGAGAGTCGGCCCTGGTGGGCAGCTGGGCAAGCGTGTCATGCCAGTATCAATGGACTTTTGTCTGCAGCTCTCCGGTCTGTCTGTAATGAGTTTGTCTAATTCATCTGGGGGAAAAAAGTACCAAAACAGGACAATATTAATAGTTATACTTTATTTAACTAGATTTCTACATTTACTTTTCTGCTCTAGTTTCTGTACTACTTCAGCTTACTCTTTGCATAGAGGTACCATGAACATTGTTGGTTCTTGTATGTATCCACATATTATATTTTGCTGATGTTCTCCAGAATGGATGATTCGGACTAAGGTAAGAATGAAATGGTCTTTTCTTCACTTCTGTTCACTTGTTTTCCATCATCATTTGACATTTGTATTGTTTATACAGAGTGCAGTGTTTCTGTAACTGTCCAAAGCATGTGAATATGAGGCACACGATTGGATGTCAGTTGCTAAGTGTATAGCTGTTAATGAGTTTGTCTAATTCATCTGGGGGAAAAAAGTACCAAAACAGGACAATATTAATAGTTATACTTTATTTAACTAGATTTCTACATTTACTTTTCTGCTCTAGTTTCTGTACTACTTCAGCTTACTCTTTGCATAGAGGTACCATGAACATTGTTGGTTCTTGTATGTATCCACATATTATATTTTGCTGATGTTCTCCAGAATGGATGATTCGGACTAAGGTATGAATGAAATGGCCTTTTCTTCACTTCTATTCACTTGTTTTCCATCATCATTTGACATTTTTCCCCTCAAATGCTGAAAAGACTGTTTATACAGAGTGCAGTGTTTCTGTAACTGTCCAAAGCATGTGAATATGAGGCACACGATTGGATGTCAGTTGCTAAGTGTATAGCTGTAACATTCTAACCGCTCTGTTTCACACTGTACAAGGTTGGCACCGCAATGCGGGGTTAACACAGCAAAAGTGGTGCTAACCCTGCTCCGCTTCTAAATTACATGTGTGAAATGTTCCTTTATCCGGGGTTAAAGGCGGCGTTTAGAACGGTGATAACCTGGGGTTAAGCACTGTGTGAAAATCCCTATGTGATGGGTGATGTGATGGGCACAGTTTTTTAGGGGGTATCAAGCATGCTTGACAGTTGACATTAGTCAATTTTAGAACGCATAGCATTTTCATTTGTCATTCATGTCTTCCTAGTAGCAAGGTGCATATTTCTTTTTGCTTTGATTTGAGAGACTTGAGCCAGCCTTAAATGTAAGAAAATTCACTGCTGTGATGCTAGAGTGTTGTGGGTTGTTGTCAGAGCAAAGATGTCAATCAAAGATTTCCTAGCACTGATAATAGTCAAAGATTGAAGACCTGGATTGGCCATGCTTCGACGGATGGCAGGGAGATCTTTGCGCTTCCATTTTTGCATCTCTTCCTCCATTTTGTCGATCTTTGCAGGATTGAGTGCCCAAAGACAGCCCTTTCTGGAGGAACCACTCATTTTGTTTTCCACCTTCTCAAAGCACTTGTTCAAGGACAGGTTGTGGCGTACAGAATTCTTCCATCCATCAGGTGCTGTCTGAGAAGCATAGTAATAAACAATATACTATAAGTAACATTTATTTGATTCCATTGTGTGTCGGCTTAGTCCATCTATTCGCCAGAGTTCTTTTACATCAATTCCTCACCTTGAAATAAGGGAAGTGCTCTTTCATAAAGCTGTAGATCTCACTAACAGGAAGGCTGCCTGTTTTGCTGTTCTTCAAAGCCATGGCAATCAGACAGCTGAAAATTTATGATATCAAACATAGTCAACTTGAGATAAATAAAATCTTGTTCCCTTTCCAGAGAATTATAATGTTTTTAAGAGTTCGTCGCAGTGAACTTTATTTCACCTGTAGGAGTAGATGGGTTTAGGGAAAGTCTTGGGCTGCAAGTCCTGGTTGTGAGCAGTAATACGGGGTTGAGGAAACAGACTCTGGTTGTTGTAGTTGCCATAAAGTCCACCGGGAGAACACTAAAAAATATAGCAAAGAAGTGGTATTTTCATAATATTATATTATATTCCTGTTCTGAACAGTCTTTACAAATCAAACCAACCTGTTGGTTTGCCTGAGTGAAAGTGAGCACTTGCTGTGGGGCGGTCTGGTACACTGATGCGGCACACGGAAACCCAGGGGAAAACTGAGGCATCTACAGAAACAACAGAAAAAATCTATAAACACAAGATTATTTTAGCTCTATTACAAATGGTCATTCAGTTCTGAATTGGTTGTATACGTAATATGAATTTGTTCGAAATGTTAATCTGAATCATCACTCACGCTACTGATGGCCAGAGGGCTGTGCTGCATTTCACTCTGTAGATGAATCGCAGATCCTGCTCCTCCTGCTACCGTCATGCTATTCAGCTGAACTGAAAGTTTTAGCAAAGGTTTTTTTTTTTTAGAAACCAAAAGTTGGATTTGGTTTTTAAATAGGGATTCAGTCCACTACTGTTAAGGCACAGCTTTCTAATAATCCTTTGTATATTTAAAGAACTGGGCCAAAGAAAAGTCTATAAACAAAATTAAAAAAAAAAAAAAAAAAAAAAAACTGACATGTGGATGTGAATAAATAACAGAATTTAATTAAATCACTGGTTACTGTTAATGTGTTAGGCTAAGATAACCAGTTTGATGTTAGAGATGTTGGTTCATGAATTCAGTTTTTTTTTTTTTTTTTTTGGACTGCCATTTTTAAATCAATCTATTCTAATTATACACAGTCTATAAAACTCCTGACCTGTCTGCCGCTCCAGCAGGCTGTTCTGGGCAGAACTGGCGAAATCAGGCCGTCCAGGTCCTATCTGCTGCAGTCGGGGAACATCCACTGAGGTAAGCCAGGACAGGGACTGAAGATCACCAGGCAGCTCGTCCTTTAGCTGTGAAGGGTCAGTAGTCAGGAGTCTGCAAAAACACAGTATAGCTCTCAGTAAAGCACAAATATGTATTTTATGTGAACAAAGAAAGAATAACTTTAGCCATGAGAGTGAACAAAAATTGCACTCTAAGTATTCAACCGAAAGTATTTTGCCTTAATGCTTCCAATCATCAGTTGCTTATATTACATTTGTATTATTTTTGGCCTACACAAACTAATACTATTCTTTTCCCAGGTTTTCTTATAAATAGATAAAAGATGAGAAAATCCTCTTGTAAATCTATTGTTTGGGAATAGAAATAAAAATACTCTCACCCTCTGATCTAATCCAGTGCAGGCAGTTATTTACTCAACCATTTCTTCATTTGGACTAAGCATCAAGAAAGCAGAGAAACCCTCTTGAATTCTCTCCAGACTTCCCTACACACTCGCTATTCAGTCCAATAATTGGGGTCGCTATGACAACCCTCACTTTTCAGTTATTTTGTGTGTCTGGACACTTCAGTGCCCCCCTCTCCATTAAACCAACCTCTAACGTTCTTCACTGTCATTGGCTGAATCATATGTAAACAACGCATGAGATCATTTGAAACATGGGTATGTGGCACACGTTGCCTGCAACAGTTGGTTCAGCCCCATTGAAAAATGATCACCTATTGTGTCCCAAACGACAAATCTGCACAGCGGCACGTGGCTCTATTGTCCGCCCCCCCCCCCCGACCCTTCGTTGATTGTCTTTACCGTTTTTTTTAACCAACCCCTTGTATTAATCTACTGGAATGACAGGCCTCACACAACAGAGAAAAATAGGATGCCATCTGTTTCCCTGTCCCTTTCCACCCAACCCCTGTCCCCTTCTGCCCCCTCCCCCCGCCTGGGGGCATTAGACAGTACCTAAGGTGGGTAGCTGGGAGGGAGTCGTTGAAGGAGTTGGAGGTCAAGCCGCACTGCACACACAGTCTGCCACCTGAATAAATTACAGCATTGAAGGAAGAACTTGGGGACATGGCCTTGAGCACCCTGATTTCTCTGCTTTGGAGCTTCTGAATAATTATCCTTTAAACACACTCACACACTAGCATGAAACCTTAGATACCGAACATGTCAACACTACACTGTCATGTGCTTTGAAATGTCTTCCTAACGCCTGTCCACATACAAAGACATGAAAATACACCTTGCAAAGGGACTAGGACAGTTTAACACCTGGCTTTATGAGACCTGCTTCTTATTGATGAGTGTTTTCTGTTGAGTGTTAACATTTAATAGAATTAAAATTGATTTCTCCGCCCTTCCATTTTATAGCTGAATTTGTTTCAAATATTGATTTCCTCATTAATAATGCTCTCTATTAATTTTTTAAGCCAATATTAACTTATGATATTTCAAAATTGTAATTTAACATTGAAACAGCATTTGTTTTCACGAATAAACTGTAAAATGCTATCCTAAAGGATTTAAGAACTTTGGATAAAAGTGTTTGCCACAAGCTTATGATCATATGGGTAACACTTTATAATAACCTTCATTAATAAATCATTAACAAACATTATATAATGCTTAATGGATCATTTAGTTAATATATATTCAAAGAGTTAGAAACGTGAGATAATGTGCATGTTAATGTTTGCTAATAAACGTATTAAACATCAGATAATGCTTACAAAAATCATTATTTCATGGGGTCAACAGTGTACAGGGGTCAATTTGATTATAAGGGAACACAGTTTAATCTGTTTATATTATATTGTTTTGATAAATTAACAAGTATTTTCTTTTTAAAAAATGATTTGTGTTCTCCTGTTTATTTTTGATTCAAGGAATATCCTGTTTAATGATATACTGAAGAGTAGTATACTAATGTGAGTGTTGAGGCAATAAAAACATTTTTTGCACCAAAATTACAATCTGTTATGTCTTTAGCCAGCATTTAGCTAAACGTAACCAGCCACCCTTTACACAAAGCTTGTTACATTAGATAAAAGTCCAATGCCCATAAAGATCCTAAATGATTAGTAACCGTTTATAAACATTTACAAATGATGAATAGTTTCAACTTTAGATTGGCTACTGCAAAAACATGAACAAATGATTAATAAATTATTAGTAAAGATGTGTGAATAGAGTAAATTCAGGTCTTTCGGGACAATTTTTGCCGTCGAGATGACTGCTCATAAAGTTATTAAAGATTAGTAAACATTTATAAACATTTGCAAATGATGAATAGTTTCCACTTTAGATTGGGTACTGCAAAAACATGAACAAATAATTAATAGATTATTTGTTAAGATGAATAAATAGAGGTATACACAACAAACAAAGACCAACAAATGAAGATCATGTGAACTGAAAGTTTACTAACATTTGTAAGCATTTCAATTTACATTAAATAATCATATGTTAATCATTAGATAATGTTCAGTAAGTTCATTAGTAAACATTAACAAGAACATTATCTCATATTTCTAGATATGTGAATATACATTAAGTAATGATCTGTTAAGCTTTATGTAATATTTGTTAATGGTTTATAAATGAAAGTTATTATAAAGTGTTACCAATTGCTATTACATATTTAATTAAATATTATAGAAAATATTTTATATTATAATGTATAAATATTATATTTAAGTGTGTAGAATCCTTCACACAAAGCCTGAGAAATTAGATCTAAAACTGATTTTGACATGACTATAACCGACAATTTAATGTTGCCAAGAAGAGCATCCACATGTCTTGCCAGACAATGGCTGCACTGTAATGTCAGAAGCACATAAATATTTAATTTTTGAACGTTGTCTTACACTGCAGGTCTGAGATTGATGCCCAGATATAATAAAGGAAAAGAATAATAATAGTATTTGTTATAGTATACTGACTTTAAAACTGTGCTTCAGTAATTGGGAGGAGAGGGGGCTTTATTTTGGAAAGAATTCATAACATGCCACATAAACTCAAATTTAGGATCGTCAAGAAAAGGGGGCCTACATCCTTGTACTTATTAGCATTTCTGAAGTCTAATTGTAAACCCAGCTGTGTATTGTACAGTTTACGGTCATTAGGGTGCAGTTATACAAGTGGAAGAAAAAATTATTTTATTTGCTCATTGATGCAAACCATTACGTGTCCCACAGAAAGGGGGAGGCGGGCGCACACAGTCACGGTTTATCACAGCTCAAGTCGCCCTCGTTTACATTCTTATTGGGAGCCACTTCTCCTTGGTGACCCGTGGGGGCCCCCGCCAAGGTCCTCAATCCCTCCGTGTGCCGACAGCGGGCGTGTAAACAGAGCTGATGCTTTCTGACAGATCCATTCAGAGCAAAGATGATGTATTCTCTCGCTCCTTTCTTTTTTCACAAACCCCAATTCCCTGCCTCTCAAAACACACCTTTATTTTACAGAATAGGAAAGGAGGAGATTGTATTAAGATTAGCAGTGCTCTCCTTCTTCCCGAAATTATCTTTTTATTCTCTAATCTGCTCAAGGTTCAAAAGCAATGGGTTCAGCCATCAAAGGAAATCACCCCCTACCTGTATTCTTGTGCGGAGATGTGGTGACTTTGTACAGGGTTTTCATGAATTCCTGACATCCTGGTTGTAATTCCACTTTCAATCATCTTCTGGCAGATAAAATGCAAGTAAATGAACAATGCAAAGCAGAGAATAAAAGGAATTTTAGAAATGTGCATTTGGTCCTGAGAAAGTGCAAATACACTTTTTTCCAAACAAACAAACAACAAAAAAAACAATCTGACATGAAATCACCACATGGCCACGTGAGAACACATTCATTTGCAAATATTAATAAAGTAGGAAATCACCAACAAAAACTTGAGACATAATAACTGAGCAAGAAAAGAAAAGAAAAAAGATAAAAATGTAATTTTATCTATTACATTTTTACAGTGTTGATGTGATATTTGCTTTGTTGACAAAACGGAGATCATCAGACGTCATCAGTCACCGTTACCTGTCAGTCTGCTCGCGCGTCTCAATATTTAATATAGCTACGTCATACTGAATTTAACAGAAAACGTTAAGTATTTCTTAAAAATAGTCGAGAAACGTTTTGCAGTTGTCTTCAAAGCACCAGCTAATAAATAAAGTCATATATTTACGTCACACATCAATGTTCATGCTGTATTATATGTCAGCCCGAAACAGGTGCGCTTATCTTGGCTTATTTAAAAATAACAATAATAAAAACATGAAATCTTACCTGTTAATGCTGAAGCTGTTCTGGGGTATAGAAAATCTTGGATAACGAGACAGAGGAAAGCTCTACTGTTGGTCGGGGCACTTGTTGTCCCGCAAGAAAAAAAAACCGTTTTTAAATTTCCCTCGTCCGTGCGGTTCGCTCGTGACGGTCATGCGCACTATGTGCACACGCAGCGCGAGCCGTGTAGAGGGGAGGAGGTCTCGCGCTCTGACTGACAGCTGTTGCCTTGCCTCCACAATCACGTGAATTATCTGTCAGTGCATCTCACCTACTGCTTTCCAATGTTTTTAGTCAATACTTCTCTTCTGCAAATATGCGTTTTTCTCCGTGTTTTCTTTGTGCCGTCCACAGGTGCGCTTTTACAGGTCCGGTACAACTTCTTTTCCCCAAAAAATAGAAATGAAAAAACTGAGAGTTTAGACAAAATCCTCTGTTTCTGCTGGAAGCAACGTTTTACACACTGTGGATTCCTATAAACTCGGAAAAAAGCGAATATAAGCTTCTATAAACCCGGAGACATGTAACAAGTTGAGCAGTGATTTCCATGTTCCCCTGTAGCCATTGGCAACACAAAATAACAGATAATGTTCACTTATTTTTAAATAGAAACATTATTTATACAGGTCTAAAGAAAGACGCTTCCTCTCCGTGCGGGTCTGTGAGATATTCTGTCCCAATAAGAGCAGAAGTTCAGGATACTGCTCTTGATTTAACCGCCTTTGAAGCCGCGTCGTTTGGTTACACGCTGCGGCGGGAAAAACGCGCGCGCTGGACTTGACAGATATCTCACAGATATGACAGGCTCGGATCGGGGTTAGAAATGTAAGCGCACGCAGTGACTTAAAGGCTCTCCTTTGAGTTTGAAATAAATATGAAAGACAGCAAATAATGATACTGACATTACACAAAGTGTGTTTGTTTTAAAATTGTTTACAGTCATTTATTTGGACACTTGAACTACGTGCACATATCTAATTATGCTTATAATTACAGGTATTATTATTGTAATTAATAATAGTAAGATTAGCGTTTAATATTTGGATAGTGGATAGCGGAGAAAGGAATCCAGAATAAGTGCATAGCAACAACCAGAAAAGGGCACTTCCACAGTTCTTCATAATTTGATAATGTTCTGTTTTTCTTTAAAGGTAACTAAAGGAAACTTTTTGAATTTTGAAATACAGGTTTCAAATCCTGTGGGAAGTGATCCGGCCAGTGACGGTAATTGACTTGAACCACATGGGACACTACAGATGGTAAATCGCGAAGTCACAATGGTCACAATCAATGCGCTCTTGCAACGGACAAAAAGACGCTCCTACAGAAGAGCGCTGGGTCCTAAAGCCCGTGTGTGCTTCTCTCAGGCTCAGCCACTGAACTGATGCACTATTTGCAAAGTTTGTAATGTAATGGGAAAGATATTGTAAACATAGCCTACTGTATAAAAACTTGTCAGTTGGATTAAGTTACCTTGTCATACAAAGTAATTTTAGATTAAACAAGATGTTCCCAGACATATCACACTTGGTTTATTTTTATTATTTATTTATTTTTCTTATTGTTTTTCGTTATGTATTAGTATTTTATGTTACTAGTCAAGTTGTTTAGTTAATGTTTATAGCATTGTTTTAGTGTGTATTTTATGTCTGTTACCCTAATGGTATTTTGTCTAATGGTATTTTGTCACTTTTGTCTATTTGTTCATTGGACATGGTTTAAAGAAAGGACAATTTTGAGAGTCATTATGTGGCCTTCTATTTTATGTGTGTTTATTTTGGGAAGCAAAGCAGATTTAGTAACTGAAATCAGTTGTATTATCATTATTGCTTAAACAAAAATGTTCTACTTTTTAACTAGGCTTTATACATGCAACTTGATTTATGACTTTATATTATTTTTGTGGGTTGAAACTTTCTCAGCTCTTTAGGTTTAGAAGATTTCCTGTTTATATTGTTAATCAAAACTGTCATCTTGCATTTACCTGAAGCTTATTACCAGTTTTAGGATTGTCTTGTGACAAACAGGGGTATACAATTGCCAAACAGAAGTCACAAAACTGTTTTACACTTCAGATTGAGTTATTTTTATTTTTATATTGTTTTAACCAAATCACTTGTAGAGTGAGGTCATTTTTCGTCTGTTCTCACCTCTGTTGGTTCTTTCTGTTTCCTACTAATAAGAGACCCTGAGTGACCTTTTGGACTGCTGTCTCCCAGACTAAACCCAGGACAACACTGGACCACAGCAGAGGAAGCTTTGTCTCAAGATCTGTCTTTGATGGGTCAGAGGGTTCATTAGGAAATCTTAAAGAAGGTTTAGTGATCACATGGTCAACAGTAGTGTCCACTGATAAATGATTAGCAACAATGTTGGTTTTCCTGAGACAAATATCGTTGTGTAAGAAGAAAGCATCTGAAAAATGTTAGCAAATTTGCACCCAAAAATATGGCAGCTGCTTACCTATCTCCAGTCTCTATACAATTGCCAAACAGAAGTCACAAAACTGTTTTACACTTCAGATTGAGTTATTTTTATTTTTATATTGTTTTAACCAAATCACTTGTAGAGTGAGGTCATTTTTCGTCTGTTCTCACCTCTGTTGGTTCTTTCTGTTTCCTACTAATAAGAGACCCTGAGTGACCTTTTGGACTGCTGTCTCCCAGACTAAACCCAGGACAACACTGGACCACAGCAGAGGAAGCTTTGTCTCAAGATCTGTCTTTGATGGGTCAGAGGGTTCATTAGGAAATCTTAAAGAAGGTTTAGTGATCACATGGTCAACAGTAGTGTCCATTGATAAATGATTAGCAACAATGTTGGTTTTCCTGAGACAAATATGGTTGTGTAAGAAGAAAGCATCTGACAAATGTTAGCAAAAGGTTTTGCACCCAAAAATATGGCAGCTGCTTACCTATCTCCAGTCTCAGCTGTTCCAGCATCCCTCCACCTCCCCAATCTCCACCTTCATCTTGGGTACCTTGCCCTTTCTAATCATACATTTAAGTCTCTGTGGGGGTATATCAGAGCTCAAGTTGAAGCTGCTTCATCGAGCCCCTCATCAGAGGACAGCAAGCCAAATAAGTTAAATGTAATTTCCTAAAGATTATATGGGCAAATGAACTGGTTAAACGACTTTATCATTTCTTATTGACTTTCATTTCATAGAGAGAGAAAAAAAACTAAGACATTTTTCAAAACATCTTCTTTTGTGTTCCACAGAAGAAAGACATTCATTTGGGTTTTGAATGACATGAGTAAATCATGACAGAAGATTTGTTTTGGGGTGAACTATCCCTTTAAGCCTGACATTTAAAATCTGTGTTTTTAGGTGAGTATCATATTTGATACATTATGCTTTTTGGTACATTATAGAGCTCATACTCAAGGAGAACATTTTAGATACTCTCAGAATGAAATGCAAATCAATGAGCTCTTTATAACTGCATAGCAGACTACTTACATAAAATGCAATATATATGCCATATATAATGGTGATTGAGAGATATTCCTCAATATTTGATACTCACATTTTAACATATTTATTCTGACAATTATGTATGGATAATAAGTAAATTGAAGTTGCTTCAGTCCAGTAAGTATTTATCTTGAAAAATCACTAAATATTTCACAGCACAAAGACACATATACCAAGACCTGAAGGTGGATATTATAGTTATACTAAAAGGTGTTTTACTTGCTAAAAAATATATAAACTGTTAGTCAGATGACAGAGGGCATGTAGTAGGCTGTGTACGAGAAGTTTTTCAGGGACCTTAGAAATTTACATTTTAAATATGATACAGTAGGCTTTATATATAGGGCTAAACCACCCGAATAAGGGGAGGTGAGGAAAGACTTCAAAACACTTTAGGTACCTATATTGTTGCAAAATTCAATATGTTTGCTTGTGTTAAACATGTGATCAACTTTATAACCTAATTAATAATATTAATACAACTTAATCTGTATGGCAACATCATTGACTAGCAAAAATGCAATAGAGTGCCTTGGCCTACATAGAAAACATTTGTAACTCTCTAATCAATTGACTGAGCCCCCTTGTGTTAGTGGTCACCTCCTATTCTTCTGTTTCTTTTCTGACCTTTAAAGTTCCAGTTCAAACACCATGTCTTGGGGGTCACCAATCACCATCTCTTGACACTAGTCTTGACCTTTGGTCATATCAGCAGGTCATGGCTGATCTAAACTCTGACAGGGAAAGTGAATGAAAGCTTTCTTCTCTCTGCTATTCATTCAACACCTCCAAAACAACTTGTGTTGTCCCAATTGGCTTATGTCAAAACGGTTGTCTTTTGGTTGATTTGTTTGAAGATGCCTTGGGTAACCTGTGTGAAAAAGTATTTTAGGAACGCTCCCAATGGCACGTGGAGAGTATCTATAAATTGAAAAGCCACTATTTTCATAGGTATGTGTATGGAAGCTTTGATTGTATATTCATTAATTACCCAAAACGCAAATGAAAATCAAACCAATGAATAAAACCGGTATATGACAACTACTGTTATATAGAATGCTAATTTTTTCTATTTATTGTTTTTTTTTTCTAGCTCTTACTGCTCATCAAGAATCCCACAATAAAAGAACCGATGAAACATAGCTAATACTGAGAAAAGTGCACATGAAAATGAGAGAGCGAGGTGGGATTTTCGGTGGGAACGCGGCAAAGCCGGTGTTATAATACACCCTTATTCTCCGCTTGGAATCTCTAATGGGAAAATCAAGTGCTGTGACTCCTGTATAATAGGATTTGCCGGGTCTCGTGCTGCATCAGGGCCCAGTGGGCAGCACAAAGCCTGTTAAGGCTGGACAAGCATTACTAGAAAGGGAGGTGTGGAGCAGAACGGGCCTGTGGTGTAAGGGGGTGAAGGTAGCCTTGACAACAGAGGTTGTGAATGGGACAACTTTCAATATGACTGTGGATAGATGTGTGTAGTCCTACCTTTACAGTGCAAGACTAGCTGTTTGCAATAGATACAGGACTATAAAGCCATTTAATGACAGCAAACAATTATTTTGAACAAGTTTAAAGTAATATTCTGCGTTTAG